AGCCGGCGCGAGCGCCTTGCAGCACGGCGGCCGAGTCGATGAAGGAATCGTCGCCGACGCGCCAGTAGCTTCCGCCGGTGTAGCCGGGGACATCGCCGGCAAGCAGGAAGCGATAGACGTCTCGAGCGCGGCGGGCGTAGATATCGTCGCCCGTGAGACGGTAGGACTCCATCAGCGCTACGGCGATATGGGCGTTGTCGTCGTAGTAGCGATCGTTGCCACCTTCGCAGCACGAGTAGCCGCCGCTCCCCTGCGGCCACCAGAAGTCGTCGTGGAACCGGTCGGAGAACGCCCGCAACTGAGGCGCGTAGGTGACCGGGTCGATTCGCGTCAAGCTGTTGAGCACACGGAACTGTGTGCTGAGCGGCCAAGCGAAGGCGACGCCGCCGGCGCCGCCCGACTGACTGCCATTGAGATGGGCAGTTTCGGCGTAAAGGGGGCTATTGGCGAGTCCGAGCGTCGCTTCGATTTCGGCCTGTGTCTCTAGGCCCCAGCTGATGAGTTGTTGGTGGTCGAAAGAGAGCGACTGCGCGGCGGCCTGGCACGAAAGGCCGAGGGCCACCAACCACACCAAGGGGGCGCGCCAAGAGCTATCAGAGGGTCGTAGAGACAAGGTGAACCGCCCCATTCATGAATCGCACTGTGGGGGAGGGGTCCGGACCTCCTCCGCGGGATTCAGAATAACCACTGGCGTCGGGCTTGTCTCGCACCCACACCGCCGGCTCGCCGTGACGTGGGATTGGTGAGGCAAGCTCGGCGTCACCCGCGCCTGGCGCCAAGGGTCTCAAACGCATCAGCCCGCTACGGGTAGGGGGATGGGCGTCTCTGTTTCTTCCAAGAATCGATTCAGCTGGGAGTAGAAATCGAGCGGCGCCGGGTCGTGGTGCTGGCCGCCGCGATGGATGACGAAGCGCTTTCGCTCACTCGGGCAAGCGGCGAAGAGTTCGCGGGCGAACTTCGCTGGGACGATGCGGTCGCGCGTTCCGTGGAGTTGGAGCAGCGGGCCATCGTACTGGCGGATGCGCTGGATAGAGTCGTATCGCTCGTGCATTACACGGCGCACCGGCGCCCATGGGAACCGGTAGGCCGCCACATCCGTCAGCCGGCTGAAGGTGTTCTCGAGCACCAAGGCCCGCGCGCCGCGCGTGGCGGCGACCGCGACGCTAACCGCCCCGCCAAGTGAGCGGCCTACCAGGACAATCTCTTCGGGAAGCCTGCCAGTGCGCTCTGCGAGCCATTGCTGCGCGGCGAGTCCGTCGGCGATGCATCCCGCCTCGGTTGGCCGGCCAGTGCTTTTGCCATATCCGCGGTAGTCGTAGATCAGCACCGAAGCGTCCAGGGCGTCCTGCAATCGGACCACGACGCTTACGAGGCTCGCCACGTGCTCACTTTGGCCATGCGAATAAAGCACGACCCGCCGCGACCGCGGGTGAGGGCAGAACCAACCGTGCAAGCGTTGGCTTTGCCGACCGGGTCCGATTGACGTGATCGAGATGTCTTCGTGATCGATCCAGCGAGTCTCCCAATTCCCCCTATTGAACGGGGGGGCGGGGTAGACCAGCGATCGTTCTATGGTGCTGAGTATCACTTCGGTAGCGGCAGCGGGGCCTCTTCCTGGGTCCGTGGAGTCGGCGACCAATGCAATCCGGGCGCCAGCCTCTGGCGGAGCGTCGCGCGAGCAATGCTTGCTACGCAGCGATAGTCGTCCGTGGTTCGTTATCGGCGAGCGCAGCGAAGGGAATGCACGCCCAATCAGCGCGGCAAGATGGCGAGTATTGTGGGCGGATTAACTCTTGGCGCATTGCCGAATCTAGCGGGGCCGCCTACTCCGCCTAGACCACCCTGGTCGTAGAGAGATCAATCGATTGCGCAACGGGCGATCAGTTGTGGTTGCCCGTAAGAATCGCCAGGATATCGTCGTAGTACGCCAGCGGTTGGGCGTCGCGGTGCATCCCCTCGGGGAGTTCAACGAACCGTTTGCGTCCGGCGGCCGCGTCATAGAGCTGCCGCGCCTGCTCAAAAGGGACGACCTCGTCCCTCGTTCCGTGGCTAATGAGCACGGGGCCCTGGTAGCACGCCATCCGCGCAAGCGAGTCGAATCGATTCTTCATCAGCCACCTCACCGGAAGCCACGGATAATGCCGCGCGGCCGCGTCCGGCAGGCTCGTGAACGTGCTCTGCAAAACGAGCAGGGCGGCCCCTTGCTCGGCGGCGATCGCCGTGGCGACGCCGCCGCCGATTGAGCGGCCGATGACGACGATATCGACTGGCGTGCGGCCCGTCCGTTCTGCTAGCCAACGCTGGGCGGCTAGGCCGTCAGCGATAACTCCGGCCTCGTTAGGCGTCCCTTCGCTCTTGCCGTATCCACGGTAATCGAAGACGAGCACCGCCGCGTCGAGTCGATCCCGCAGCAGCCGCGCCAGCTCTGGCAGGTCGGAAATATCGTTACCATTGCCGTGGCAGTAGAGAACGGCGTGCTTAGCGTTGGGGGCGTCGAAGAACCAGCCGTAGATGCGGGCCGCCTTGGCGCCGGGGGCGGCTGGCACGTCGATCCAAGCTTCCTCGTAGTCCCCACCCGCGGGGGTCCAATTGCCTGACGCCGCGGAAGGCGCCGGGAACACGAGCCGCGTTTCTAAGAACGACATCAAAAGCAGGATCGAGAGATAGACGATCGCGCCGAGCCGAGCGGCGCCTAAGGCAATGATCCCGAGGCGGCGGCGATACGAGAGAGCGGACATCACATCCGCAATATTCCCCTCCCCATCATGGAGGGGCTAGGGGAGGGCAGGCGTCGCGAGCCGTCCGGCGTCTATCCATTGAGCCACAGGAAGACACTAAGCAATCTCCTCGATGCCTTCCTCCGCGTTCTCTGTAGCTCTGTGGTCACCTGTTACCGGCTCTCGACGGAGATGGGACACTTCTCGAGGATGCCTTAGTTCGGCATCGTCCTCAAGCCTCTTCGTCGCCGCCGCTCAGAATGCCACTGCGGGCGAGCTTCACGCCGACACCGATGACAACGACGATCGTCCCAATTACCAATCGCCTCAGCGTTCGCGACATATACCAGGGGCGGCCGGAGGAATCTCCGTCATCAATGTCGGCGAGCAGACTGATGTCACCCTCTGCTAGAGCCACGCCACACAACGGGCACGGCGTCCCGGTGCTGAAGCCTACCGGGACGACGTACTCGCCCTCGCAATGCGAGCAATAGGCATCGGCGTACGCGTCGTAGTAGTTGATCTCGGGATAAGACGCGAAAGCCTCATCGAGTCGGCGATCGTATTCGTCTCCGCTGAGCTCATCGACACTCGAGATCCAGGGTGGGTCGCCGCGTCCCTGGTCGCCAGCGGCCCCATCGACAACTGTCGCGGCGTTTTCAGGCGGCGGCATATCGACGGGCGACTCGGACGCCTGATAGGCCTGCACCTCGGAGGACGGGTCAGACGCTTCGGCCGTGCCAGCAGGGTCTTGGTAGCCGCGGTCGTAGGGAGGCTGATTGAATCCGTTCGACGCCATCTGGCGGGGGTCGCTGTACGGCGCGCCGCGATTCCCGCCCGGCGGGGCCATGCCCGGTTGACCCATCGGCGGCATGGTAGGGGGCGTCCGGCCTTCCATCATTGCCTTTGACATGCCGGTCATTGCGATCGTGGAGGCCGCCGACCAGCCCCCTTTTAGATCGTTAGCGAGTTGCCCGAGCTTCTGCTGACCGACCCACGTGCGGTCGGCGGCGCTGAGGCGGCTTAGCGGGTACTCATATCGCTTGCCCTTGATCCATAGCACGGCTTGATCACCCTCGGTGCCGCCGTAGAGGGCCGTGATGGTGCGCCCCTTGGCGTCGGTCCAGTCGCGCTCCACGGCGCCGTCGGGCGGCCGGCTCGCCACAGCGGTGCGCTTGACGGTCGCAAAATAAGCCGGCAGCTCCTCCTCGGTATGAGCGTACAACGCCTCGAGGTGCGCCACGTCTTCGGCGGTGAGGTCCTTGAGCGGGATGCTGAGCGATTCACTCGCCAGCCGCACCTCGACGTGGTCGTCGCGGAGCACTTGGAACCGGCCCCGCTGGCGTTTCGCCGGGTCGCCCCAGATGCGCGGCGCCACAAAGTCGCGGTATGCCTCGACCCATTGCTGGTCTTCTTCGCTGAGCCGATCGATTGGCGCCGGGACGAGCTTACCGTTCTCGCCACGGAGCAGCACGGTGCGGTCGCTGCTGCGATAGCGGACGAAATCGGCTTCGAGCGTCTGGTCCTCGTCATTGGTCCATGTTCGGGCCGATGCGACTGAGGCAGTAACTGCCAGTACGCCAAACAGAGCGCAAGCGAGCGAACGCATAGCGAAGAGAGGGGCTAGAGTCCGAGCGCCCAGCCGGCCTACGTCCCCAGACGCGATCCCAGCCGCCAGCGCCGGCCCCTACCTATGTTCCGCCGCATATCCTAGCCGATCGGAGGCGGCGGAGCAAAATCACGGCCCCGCAGTGGGGTTTTTGAGTGTTCCGACCCAATTGAGCCGACGGCGCTCGCCGCTGATCCAAATTGCAGTGCTGTTTGTGGCTAGCGCGTTCGGCCTGAGTTCTTGCTGCCCACTAATCGTTCCGATGCTCGTACACCGCGTGCAGCAGCGCCTCGACGTCCTTGAACTTCGACTTGCTGCGGGTGACGACGCCGTCGATTAAACGGCGGGCGTCGGCGTCGCTGTGCCCGAGGGTGCGGAGGATCTCGAACGCTTCGCTGAGGAGGTCGCCTTCGACGTCGCCCAGCGGCGTCTCTTTGCGGCCGACCAGGAGGGCGAACTTCGCCGCCTTGCGCCGTAGCTTGGCGATGACGCGCTCGGCGGTTGCCGGGCCGATGCCGGGGAGCGTCGCCAAGCCCTTGGCGTCTTGCTCTTCGATCATGACGGCCAGCTCTTCGACCGGCCGCACCATAGCCCGCAGCGCCTTGCGGACGCCGATGCCGTCGACCTGGCAGAACATGTCGAAGAACTCACGCTCCACCGCGGCGGTGAAGCCCACGAGGCGCGGCGTGAGCTTGCCACGCGCCGCGTCCCCTTCGAGGTACTCGATGGTGTGCAGGGAGGTTTCGTTACCGATGATTCCCGACAGCCGCCGGCGGCAGAACTCGGGGATGAGCACTTCGTACTCGAAGGGCCCCGCGGCGATCGTGGCGGCGTCGCCCGCAGCGGCGACAACATGGCCGGTGATTTTGGTGATCAAGGGGGTGGGCAGTGGGCAGCAGGCAGTGGGCAGTAATGGCGAGCCCTCGACGTTAGTCGGGGGAGGGCGGCTCGAACAGCCCGGGCTTCGGCGCCCCGCTCTCCCGCCGCCACCGGACATAGAACAAACCCGCCAACACGATCCACATCCCGACGCCGATCCAGTCGCGTTGCAATGCGTTGGCGGCGCAGAAGAAGAGCACCACCACCGCCCACCCGAAGTTCTCAACCGCCGTCGGCGGCCCCGAACGCTTCTGGATCGTCTGCCGCCAAAGCACGTACAGCACCAGCCCAACGCCGACGGCGACCTCGGCGTACTTTGTAGCGGTGATAAGATCCATGGTGTCTCTCGGAGAAGTTTCGAGCCCTACAGCTGCCCGCTGCCCACTGCCCGCTGCCCACTCAAGTACCAATGCGTCACCGCAATCGCCAGCGCGTCGGCGACGTCGGGCGGCTCGGGCGCGGCGGCAAGGCCAAGCTCGCGCTGGATCGCTTGCTGCATCTGCGACTTCGGCGCGCGGCCGGCGCCGGTGAGGATACGTTTGACTTGCGTCGCCGCGTAGTGCGCGACGGGCACGTCGGCCTGCGTCGCCGCCAGGACGATTACGCCCCGGGCGTGGCCCATCAGGATCGAGGTCTTCACCCGCTCGTAGTGCGAGTACAGCTCTTCGACGGCCATCGCCTCGGGCTTAAGAGCTGCGATCACTTCGGCGATCCCGGCGTGGATCTCGCCAACCCGGTGCGCAAGCGACTTGCCCTTCGTGCCCCGCACGACGCCCGCCTCCACCAGCCGCACGCCGGCACGCGACGCGTCGATAACGCCGTAACCGGTGATGTTCAGGCCGGGGTCAACGCCGAGGATACGCACAGGGTAGGGGTGAGGCTTGAGGCTACAGGCTTGAGGAAGGGAACCGCCGATGAACACAGATAAACGCAGATGCTAATCTCACTGCTACCCGTTTCGAGTCGGCGGTACGAAGGACATCTGCGCTTATCTGCGTCCATCTGCGGCTAGAAATTAATAGCTACAGCAGCTTGCGGAACTCTTCGATCGTTAGCCCCGCGTCACGGACGATCCCGCCCATTGTGTGGGCGTTGACCGGATTGTGTCGTGGGATGGTGAGGATGCGCTCGCCGTCGGTCATCACGGTGTGCTTGCCTTCGCGAGCGACGACGAAGTCCGCCTTCTCAAGGGCGCGGATCGCATCCTTGTGGTTGACGCCGGGGAGCTTGGGCAACGCTTACGCCTCCACTTCGACTTCACGCACTTCGCGGTCGGCCCAGAGGTCGCGCTGCACCTCCAGGTACTCGCGGATCGCGTCTTGGATGTTCGCCATCGCCTCGGCTTCGTCGGCGCCTTGCGAGTGGCAGCCCGGGAGGCCAAGGACCGAAGCCGCGACGCCTTCGTCGCTACGCTCCAGTGAGACTTTGTACCGCATCGCTTTGACTCCGCAGGTTGGGGGACTATTTGGCGCTCCACTCCGTGCCGCCCGCTCGGTCTTCGAACGTCACGCCGATCGCCGCCAGCTTGTCGCGCAACGCGTCGGCGGTGGCGAAGTCTTTGCTATTGCGGGCTGTGGCGCGGAGCTCGATCAGCATCTGCATCACCGCTTCGGTGGCGCCATCGCCTCCTCCGGTCCACTCGGCGCCGCTGGGGCGGTCTTCGATCGTCAGGCCCGCCGGCTTGAGACCGTCCCGGATCGCGTCGGCCACGGCGAAGTTCTTCGCCTTGCGGGCGTCGGCGCGGAGGTCGATGACGACCCCCATGACCTTCGCCAACAGCTCGTCGCCCCCGCCAACTTTCGCAGGGGGCACGCGGAAGAGTCCGAGGATGTTGGCGAGTTCCTTGATGGTGGTCATCAAGAGCTCGAGCGAAGCCACGTCGGCGGGGTCGGCCGACTCTTCGAGCTTGTGGTCTTCGCAGTACTTGTTGGTGATCCGAGCGAGCTCGAACAATTCGGCGATCGCGCCGCCCGTGTTGAAGTCGTCGTCCATCGCGGCGATGAACTTGTCACGGCACGCCTCGGCGGCGTTGAGCGTTGGGTCGTCGCCCAGGGCGATGGTGCTCGCGCCGCGGCTGGTGGGGGGCGTCAGCGCGTAGAAGTCGGCCTTCGTGATGCGTGTGAATCGCTTGAAGAGCCGGTAGAACGTCTCCAAGCCAACGGCGGCCTCTTCGATCGCATCCTCGCTGAAGAGGACGGTGCTGCGGTAGTGCGTGCGGAGG